AAGGTTGAAATGTTTGGGAAATAATAGCCTCAGGTGATTACTTTTAAGTTAGAAAACGAGTCAAATTACACCGGAAATTAAAAGAACTTTCTTTTATCCTGTTTATTTTCTTATTTTTTACCTTTCATAACTCTACTTCCTGTATCCTTTATGCGTGTTTATCCCATAATTATTATTAGAACAATTTCGTCATCCATTCCAGGAGTCTTTCAAAAACTGCCCAGTGGTAACAATACTTGTAAAAATTGATTTTTTTTATTCAGTGTTATTATTGAAAACGGTCAGGTTCCTGGCGCCCATAATAACAGTCTTAGATTATCAGCACGCAGGGAAATATAACATTTTTATATTTTCAATTGAATATTAATAACTAATACTAATAGTAATTATGAACACGAAACTTTACGTTTTGATGCTCATTAATAATATAAGTCTGTGACGAATGTAGTTTAGAGGGAAGGAATACTAGAGGAGCTGAATAAAACAACTTGCCTACTGCAGAGATTTCAATGTGAAATTACAGGCATACATAGTGTAAAATCGTGAAACGATAAGAGGAGAGATAAGTAAGTGTGAGCTAATGCATGCAAGGCAGGTACTGAATATACGCGGAAAACGTTCTAGAATGAGGTAATGGCATTGTGAGACTTGGTCATAAAAAGAGCAAATTCCATTTCCGGAAAATTTGTGGTTACAGTGGGGAGTCTTTGTGATTTATCACTGTTGGAACCAAATGAAGTCAAGGTTATGTACAGTGGCAGACTAACGATTCAAACCAGGAGTTGAGTTTCTTACTATGTGAAATGTTGGTGAGAGCTCCGTAGAATGCAGATTGGAAATTAGACAGATAAAGGTAGTTCGATGTACGAGGCCCATACGTTCTTAGAACTCTTATACTTTGTGACTGGGGATTTGAATCTCTCTTGGGGTCCGGATTTTTTTTAAGTTTCTGGTAACGTTCAGAACTGGGATTTGCAAAAATGCAATTATTGCCTTTACATAAAACTCGATATTGGAAAATTTCACTAGCTCTATCGATACGTATCAGTTTAGTTGCAACAGGATACTTTAAATGGGCAGATTATAAGCAGATCATATTTCTGCTGGTGTGATTGATTGTGGAATTCCCAGGCAGCTATGCAGCAGGTGGGGAATCCTCCATGTGGAGGGCACAACTTAGCAAAGTAAGCATTAGGTATTTATCACACGTAAAGATAGTTGACTTCAGACAACTGTGGCGTCATTGGTTGTGGTCAACACACCATAAATGCGTTTCTGTACGCATATTTTATTTTACATTTACATTTCCTTTGAATTCAGAAACAATTGAAGGCCCGACACTCATACAGAACCTTTCTTTATCTGTTCTATATTTGTTATCACTAGAAATCTTAAGATTTATTGAGTTATAATTTGGCTAGAAGAAGAACGAAATAGACAATGAAGAAGTATTATTTGTTTATACGAACTCGTGTAAACAAACACTGGCAGCTTTATTTAGTAAACACGTTAATTAATATTTTACTATGTGGCATCACGTACTTAAACCGATGTAACATTCGATGAATTTACAATCCTGTGTGTTCATGTTGTACCTATCCATTCGTTTGTGAGGAATGCTAATGAAATCGCCATGTTTTCCCTTATCACATTTAATTACAATTATGTAATGTACAATGTTGTAAGAGGGACGGACTACAGACGTAGTAAAATGATTTGTACTCTTACATCAGCATTTAGTTTAATGATCTAGTAGAAGTTGTGTTTCATGTCACTAATTTTGTAAGCAGATTTAAACTACAATAGGCAAACCACAGGCTGTTTTAAGACTTCACACTTTATTAATATTTATGAACTTTTATGAAGTCATCTTTTATATAACTGCCCTCTGGGTTTTATCGCTGTGAACTCTGGTAGTTTACCAACGTTTCAGACGTTCTTCATTATTCAATAGCAAAGCGATCAGGGTCTCTGATGATGGAGGCAGAAAGGACCTCTGAAACGTTGGTAAACTTCTACCAGACACGGTGCACAACCCAGAAGACATTCATGTTTTAAATCAGAGAATTCGTAAGTTAGAAACGTTTTATTAATGCGTTAGAGCCAATAATGTGACCAAAACAATAAATAAGACTTGTACTTGCTTAAAATTCTACTTCCCTCAGATGCACATCGAAATATTTTTCTTTCGTGGCATTTTTTACAGTCTTATAATTCTAGTCTCTTGTATTTTCC